AGGGCGGTGCCTGTGGCTCAAAGGAGTAGGGCGCGGGCTCCATATGCCGGAGATGGCGGGTTCAAACCCAGCCCCGGCCAAAAAAACAAAAAAGATGCACACAGCCCACCAGTGTGTTTGTTTTGTCATGTTTAATACACACTAAAACAAGCCACAAAAGAGGGTGCTGCTAGCTGAGAACTACAACCACTCCAGGACCCCAAAACAGAGGCCAGGAACGGAACTGAATCCACAACTCCTGGGGAGACCCAAGTTCTCCTAGGCCCAGGCAACCCTGAACCCTCCTGTCACCTCCAACCTCCCTCTCCCTCAGCCTAGACTCAGTTGGCCCTTCCCTACCAGTGGCTTCCTAGACACAGGCCCCTCCCCTCCCCTGGGTCCCAGGACTTCTTCCTCCTCAGGGTACAGAGGGGCACAATTGTTCAGGGCCCTCAGGTCCGGCTGTCCAGGAGAAGCTGGGTTCTGACCCAGGATGGAGAAACGTTGTACAGGGGCTGTCAGGATACTCAGGCGCCCACACACTCCACGTAATTGGCAGGGTACAGGCCAACGCGGCCGCTCTGCAACTGGCCCTGGCACCAGCCCTGCTCATCCTCCTCACTCATCTTCAGCAGCTCCTCCCCTGAAGGAAAGGGGACTGGTCACCGCCAATTGCTCTGGCCCAACCCCCTTTCCTGCAACTGGGTCAAGGACTGAGGGGGATGGGGTAGTCCAAGAGCCCAGCTAGGCGAACTCAGCTCAAGGCAGAGGGAAGTTGAACTTAGCAAGCTGCCCCACCCCAGACCCCAACACAGCAGGAAGGCCCCAGCCAGCTGGACCCAGAGCAGACTGAATGGCCAGACAACTGGCCCTTGAGAGGGAGTTATCTGGCTTCCTTCTTCCACACTCTTGCTTAGGCAGTAAGGAAGGCAGAGACTGAACTCTGGAAAGGAGCAGGAAGGGGCCCCAGAGTACCTGCTCGGAAGCTCAGCTCATCAGCTTCCTGGCCAGCATAGTCATAGAGTGCCCGAACCCGGACACCAGTAGTAGCCTTTCGGGGACTCTCCTCATCTGACCACTCTTCATCCTGCCCCCTGCTGGAGAGTGGAAGCAGAAGGGAGTAGCTCAGGGTACAAGGAACTAGAGCTCTCACCCAGAACTCAGGTGAAGGGCTTACTGTCTCCTCCTCATCCCCACCAGAGGAATCCTGGGAGAGGCAGGAGGGGAGGAGCTCGAAGATTCTAGTCCCACCTCTGTCACCTAGCTGTGAGCTCAGGTGTAATTCTTGCCCCACAGAGCTATTGTGAGGTGAAAGTGGAAGGAACCAGGAAGATCACTGGCAAATCTAAACCACTATGAAAACTGGTATCATTACCACCCTCAGGTCCCTGGCACCAATTTTCAACCCACTTAAAGTGTGAAGAGAATAAAACAAAGAAGATAAAGGGAAGGAGGGCAGAGCTGTTTCTTTACCACAGCCAGACTCCTGACTCTCACCCTGAGGACCCCGGAGACTGGGGTGGGGGTGCAGTGCCATCTCTTGTGGGCACAATGCTGGTCAGGGTAACCTCATCAGGGCTCCGGCCACCCTTCTCTTTCCGGCTAATTGTCCTGTGTGTGTCCAAGGACCACTCCTGTGGGAACAATGGTTAGGGTCAGGCTGAGCTACAGCTTTTGGTAACAGCCAGGGCCATTCAGATCACCTTCACTGGCTTCATCACAAGCCCTGAGCTTCCTCCAGAGGCCCAGGCTGAGCACAGTAGGAGCTGGCCACACCTCCCAGCCCCACATAGTCTGGAGCACATGCCTCAAACTGTGGCCAATTCATGGCCATGCCGGGCCCATGGGTGCTGCGCCACCAGCGCAGATCCTCTTCATCACTGGCTGCCTCAATGCTCTGGTGTAGGTCTTTGTGGAGGTCATGGAACCTGTGGCCCAAAGCACAGCCTCAGACTGGGAAGTCCTGGGTCCTTATACCCCACAATCCCATCCATCACAGCTAGAGCCCAGGGAACCAGCAGGGGACCCAGCATCACACCAGATCTCCTCACCCACCCCCAGGCCATACTTCTCACTGCTGGAGAGGTCAAGGTGTTGATGTAAGGTGAGCAGCATATCCTTGAAGAAAAGAAGCCTCTGGCGCTCAGCAGCCTGGCAGGTCTCAAAGGCCTGTTCCATGTCCTCCATGTAGCGTGGGGTGTAGCGATGCAGCTCTGCCAGTGTCTGCTCATACTGAGTTTTTGTCTGGGTGAGAGGGGAAAGGGTCAAATGAGGAGGAGAGCTTCATCTACGTAGGACTCCACTGGTGTTTATCAGGCACTGCCATGATCTACAGCAGTGGTTCGCAACCTTCCTAATGCTGCAACCCTTTAATACAGTTCCTCATGTTGTGGTGACCCCCAACCATAAAATTATTTTCGTTGCTACTTCATAACTGTAATTTTGCTACTGTTATGAATCGTAATGTAAATATCTGATATGCAGGATGTATTTAGGCAACCCCTGTGAAAGGATCGCTTGACTCCCAAAGGGGTTGCAACCCACAGGTTGAGAACCACTGATCTAGACTGGACTAGCCACCAGGGGCAATCAGTCCTGAGAACCAGCTCCTGCCCTTCACCACCCCAGCAGCCTAACAAGGGAGGTGACATTCTGGCACAGCAGATGTCAGAATCTGGTAGAGAGTGAGCTGAGGTCAACCTATGGGCAGAGTGGGAGAAATCAGATAAGGCTTCCTGAAGGAGGTGGCAACTGAGCAGTACCTCAGAGTTGGAGGAAAGGGTACTTGGGGAGAGCTGGCAAGGTAGTGCATTGTGCAAGGAAAGGAGCTGGAAGTTCTCCTCAATTGCTAAAGTCACCTAGTGCCTGGGAATTCCATCATTTCCTTCCCCGGGCAAAGCAGCACCTTTTCTCAGGTTCCTCCTTTAAATGATCATCTGGAGAGAGGGTGGCAGGTAAGGATTAGGGCAATGAGAGTGCTGGGACTGGGCTGCGCCTGTGGCTCAGTGGGTAGGGCACCAGCCCCACATACCGAGGGTGGTGGGTTCGAACCCAGCCACCGGCCAAACTGCAACAAAAAAAATAGCTGGGCATTGTGGCAGGTGTCTGTAGTCCCAGCTGCTCAGGAGGCTGAGGCAAGAGAAACAATCGCCTAAGCCTAGGAGTTGGAAGTTGCTGTGAGCTGTGATGCCATAGCACTCTACCAAGGGCGATCAAGGGAGACTGTCTCAAAAAAAAAAAAAAGAGTGCTGGGACTGAAAAGGAGCAAGCACTTCAGGAAGCAAGATTCATTCAGAAATCTTGCCTGGGCCTAGGGTGGGCTAGGACCTGCAGGCGGTACCTTCTCGGCCTCCTTGGCACAGCGTTCTACCCGCTCCTGTAGTTTGCGCAGCTGCTCCTGGGAGATGGCATTGTCTGCCTTTGCGTGGCTCTCCCGAGTCTGGGCTGTCTTCTCATCCTTCCGGGATGCATGGTAGCTCTTCTTAGAAGCCTCAACCTGGCATTCATGGGGACAACTCTAGGCCCTGGACACCACGCCCTGGTACCCTCAAATCCCAGGCAGACCTAGAGGGGGCCTCTCTCCATTGCCCATCCACCCCAGGCTTACCTCCTTCAGCCTCTTCAGCCAGGGCTTCTGGGCCTTGCGGAAGCCGTCCTCAGCAGCCCGGCTCTCACGGAAGCCGCCCAGCACTGGGCGGTGGAAAGCCCCACGCTGCCAGCTGCGCACCTGCTCGCTGTCCTGCCCCTGCAGCTTCTCCCGCACCTCCAAGTGCAGCGAGCTCAGGCGCTCCGCCGCAGTGAAAAAGGCATGCCAGGCCTTCTCCAGTGTGCCGTACTGGGGGCCTGCAGGAAGGTTATGGGGCTTGGGCCAGGCCCGGGTACCACCCAAATCAAGCCCATCCCTTCTCATTGGGTGTTGCTCTGGATGCCAGGCACAGGGGTGAGGGTGGGGTACAAAGACGAACAACAGTGCTGTCATCTGGGACTTACTGAATGCCTACCCTGTGCCTTGACATCTGAGTCCTTCCCTCAACCACCCTCAGGACAGTGTCATTGTCAACATTGAACAGGCAAAAAAACTAAGACCGAGAAAAGTGATGTTAACTTGTCCAAAGCATTATAACTACAAGTAGAGCTGAGACTCAAACCCACATCTGCTGCATGATCACTGTACTTTATTGCCTCAAGGAAAGAACCCATATCTGCTCTCCAGCAAGGCAGCTCACTGGGTGGAAAGATCCCACACTGCCAGTCAGAAGGCCTGGGCTCAACCTTCTGTTCTTCCTACCTGTGTGACTTCAGACAAGTCCCCGAGCCTCTCTGAACTTCCAGTTTCACCTCTAGGAAATGGGTAGAACAGGCCCATCTCCATCACAGGGTTGTTAAAAATACCAAAGTGACTCATGAATGTACTTTGCAAACTCTACCACCACAACTATAAGGATAACCAGGAGGATCATCCCTCTTTAAGGAGGTAGAAGCCTCAAACTTTCTGCAGGATGTACAAAAAGAAGCTGCCCCAAGGGCCCCACCCTCAGCAGCCCTCTGCTCCCTGTCCAGCCTAAGCACCAGCTTACCCTTTTCCACGGTGCCCCTCCACTTGCGGGCCCAGTCAGCTAGCTGCTGGGCATAGGCCTTCTCAATGCGAGCACGTTCCTGGAAGCAGCTAACCAGGTCCCCGCACAGCCGGTGCCCATCCTCCACCCGCTGCACTGTCCGCCTATAATTGCCAGCCTGGGGCATAACAAGTAGAGCAGAGTTACCAGGCAGAAGCCCCCTCTCTGGCTGGGGCTATCAGCTTGGTTCTTCCCCTGCACAGGTAACTGAGCCTAGAGAGGGCTGGGCGTTTTAGTGCCGCCCCCAAACCCAGGACCCCACTGCTCACCTCCCAGAAACTGCCCCCTAAGGCTTCCCCTCCAGCATCCTCTTCCGGAGCCATGGTGTCCCCGCAGCACGGAATGGTGGCAGATTTAGAGCTGTGGAAGGCAGAGGGATACGTAGGGAAGCTGGACACACTTTAGGGGTTAGGAAATGGCCCTCTCTCATCCCTGGGCTCTGCCCCACTGCCATTGCCACCACCTAAGGAACCGTCAAAGCTAGGACTTAGCAGGCAGGGGGTTGAAGTCCCAAGGACAAGCCAAGCTAGGGGCAAGGAAGGCAATTTCAAAGCTCCTCCTCTCTCCCTGGGTCTGCTCTTCTCCCCCACCCCCACATACCTAGGGCCTAGATATCACTACAGGAAGCTGAGTGTCCCACTCTTAAAGCTGCCACTGTGACTCTGCCTTGAAGCTAAGAAGAGCAAAGCAGAGGGTGAGGGTGGGCACCTAGAGTGTCCAGGGCGGTGCCTAGCTCCCCCCAATATAGCAACTGCTGTCAGAAGTGCCAGATTCCAAGCAAGAGAATGCCAGGCAGGTCACACGATCCACAGCCGGGGATTACATGGCTGGCGGAGGAGCAAGGTGGGCAGAGAGCCCCACTCCCCTGAAGCCTAACCAAGTCAAGGCCCCTGCTGCATTTCCTTGAACAAGGCAAGACTGTTACCAGAGCTGGCTGAGTGTGCAAGTGTCCAGCCACATGCCGATAGCTCCCTGTACTAGGAAGAGCAGAAAAGGAGCTAGAAGCTCTGGGTCCCATCTTGGTATGTTACTGTCCCCTCCTAAGAAGGCCTCAGTGCCCTCCAAGATGTAAACTTCCCCACCTACCCAGGGCAACAGCTTGAGGCTCTGTCTCAAAAAAAAAAAAAAAAAAAAAAAAAACTGGTCAGTGGGTACCCCACTAGCTCCATGCCAGGCTAGTATAAGACTCAACCCAAGGCTGGGCACAGTGGCTCACTCCTGTAATCCTAGCAATCTGGGAGGCTGAGGTGGGTGGATCACCTGAGCTCAGGAATTCAAGACTAGCCTGAGTAAGAGTGAGACCCCTGTCTCTAAAAATAGCCAGGCTTTGTGGCAAGTGCCTGTAGACCCAGCTACTTGGGAGGCTAAGGCAAGAGGATCACCTGAGCCCAACAGTTTGAGGTTGCTGTGAGCTATCAGGCCATGCGCTCTACCCAGTGTGACAGAGCGAGACTCTGTCTTAAACAAACAAAAAAAGAATCCAGGCAATGAGTGAGATATATCCACAAGGGGCTCAGCAGTCACCAGGAGGTACTCACCCCACTCCACAACATCCAGCAGGGGCCCCACAAGGTGATACCAAGCAACTAAGTCCTGACCTCAAAAAGCTCAGAATATAGGGCAGCCCAGGGAAGGGAGACAAGTGGTCAGCCAGTTATAAGAGCATTCTCCAGAATCACAGAAGATAGCAAGGTGAATTCCAACTCCAGAGCCACCATCTCAGGGACTGGAAGACACAGTGGCATGCGGCTGCTCCCTGCTGCCTTTAGGCAGGGTCTCAGCTGTCCCCAGCACTGACTGACTCACAACCCCTAGAAGGAAATTGCTTCCTCTTTTGTGCAGGCCCAAGGGACATGCCAGGCCCAGAAGGACAGAGTGTGCCTGTAGCCCCCAAAGCGAGGCTCTGTCACGGCATTTCTTCCAAACTGATTAACTTCTGCTCCTCCAAACCTCAAATCAGGCCATCTTCTCCACAGTCACTTCCCCTATCCCTCCATCCTTGCTCCCACAGCCTCTGGTGACCCCTTGATTTGGGGTATATGCCCCATTGGGTTGTGACTGACAGGATGTCTGTCTCCACTCATTGACAGAGGCTTCTGGGATTCTGATTTGTTTTCCCAGGTGCTAGAATCTGAAGAAAAGAACTGATGTCCACCTGAAGACCAGAAACCTGCTGGCTCCAGCAGCTATGGAAACACTTGGCCTGAGTGGGCATCCCTCTCTGCTAACAAGAGGGGCAGCTCAGCCCTCCCTGGAGACCCATGGAGAGTGTGGGCAATGGAAATGCTGGGCACATAGTGGCTGCTCCACCAGGCCCCCAAAGCTCTTCACTGTGTTCACTCTTTAGTCAGTCCCACTTGCCCAGAGAGGACTTGCCAAGCCATGGAGAGAAAGAGTGCTACAGCCATAAATCACAGGACCTCTGGAGCTGTCCCAGCCAGGCCTCTAGGGCCTGGGGCCCTCTGCCTGCTCAGATCTCCGTGCTCCGTGCTCCCTGCTCCCTGGAGAGCTACCCGCACCCGTTCCCTCTCTCTGGCCCCAGAACAGAGCAGGCTGTGTGTGCAAGGCCGGCATGGCTCCCTCCGGCCTCCCAGAGCAAACACAAGCTGTGCAGCCAGGCCCACAGCCCCAGCCTGACCTAGCTGTGGGGGGGGTCGGGGACAGGAGGCCTTGCACTGCAGCCCCCATTAAGAAGGTTGGTGCCCTGTGCCTCCTGACCTCAGCAGAGACCCAAATCAGTCCCTATAACACACTCCACCACAGGCAAGAGCTCAGAAGGCAGGTAATACAATCTTCCCTGCCCAGGGAGCCCGCACCTACTGGGCCAGAGAAGTCTTCTGGGGCTTGGCAGAGTCTCCTTAACACCAGCCCAGGCCAAAGTAGGGATTTTCAGGGTTCAGGGAGGAGCCCCTCTCCCGAGGCCAGAAATTACCCCCACCCCTTCCCAGAAGCTGGGGGCATGCCCCTGGGAGGGAGCACAGCCATCCTGCCCTGCCTGCCCATCCCTGTGTCCTGAGTCACAGGCTGTGCCCAAGGGCTTCTTCTCCCAGCAACCCCACCCCCATCAGCCCACAGCCAAGGCCCAAGAGGATCTGAGGGCACAGGAGGGGCATTGGGCTGGTTCAGAGAGAAGCACCTAGGCTAGTGGGGCTGGAACCTGTAGCCAGAGCCTGTTCGGACTGGAGGTCAGGAGACTGGGGGAGGGGGTGGCACAGGAACGGGGGAGGAGGCAGGGCTGGGGAGGGGCATAACAAAGGGGCGCTCTTGGAAACCTGACCTGCCGGCTGAGGTGCCGGCTCTCTCATGACGCATTCCAAACCCCAAGCCTCCACACTAAATCTCGCAGCCCAGGGGCGGCGCGTCTCTGGCCTCAACCCTTATGAACGGAGCCCCTCAACAACCCCCATCTTGTCCACCCGGCGCGGCACATCTCGGAACCTGGGGAGCCCACGCGGAGCGGCACGGCCAGGCCTAGCCATGTAGGCTCTAGGACTTCTCGGCCAAACTTGTTGAACTTGGTCTTGGCGGGGGTGGGGCCTGCCCGTCACCGCCAAGGGGAGGGGGTGCTCCCTGCCTGGGCCAGCCTAGCCGTGGATTCCAGATGGTAGCTTGAGGCAGCGGACCCAGGAATGGGGCTCTTTGCAGAGGGCAAGGGGTCGTCAAGGCCCCAGGGCTGGCGCGAGCAGGGCAGAATGGGGCCCTCGATGGGACCAGGAGATGGTTTCGCCCCGCAGCCCCGACGTCCCCATCCCCCCGGCGGGCCTAAGGAATTGAGGAGTTCGCTACGCCGAAGAGGGTCGGTGGTAGCCCTTCCCATCGTCACGCAGAGCCGGGTGGTCGCGGGCTCCTGGCGCGGGAGCCGGTTCCATTGCAAACTTCAGGAGGCGCAGGAGGAGAGGGCGGACTCGAGCCACGGTTCCCGCCGCTGCGTCCCCGCAAGTCCCCTCCCGGGTACTCACCGCGTCTTCCCGGGGCCCCTAGGTGGGTGGGGGTCCGGCCACGCTCCGGCCCGAGTCCTGCTGCTCCCTGGCCCCGGCCACCGCCTCCCGGAGCGCGCCGGGCCCTCCCCCGGGAAGCCCGGCCCCCGGCCCCGCCCTCTCCGCTGCAGCGGCCCCAACCCCACCAGCCTACTGCGGGGTTGCGGGGGCCGCTAGCATCACTGCGCCCCGCGGCTCTAGGGATGTAGGGTCTCTGCTACCGGGAGCAGAGTGCCTAGGCAGCTCCCAGGGTGGCGCGCAGGCTGCAGGGAGTCAGATTTCGGTTTTGCCCCTCCGGACCTTTGCAGAGCCTGGGAGACCGTGAGACCGAGAAGGGACCCGGCATGCAGCGGCAGCCCTTAGAGGGTTTCCTGAGAGTCACGATGCCTTACATTTGTTACTGAGCACTGCTTTCTTAGACGTTAGATGGGGAGAGGCTCACAACCACCCCCTTGCAAACATTAGATTTCTTATTGTACAGATGCAGAAACTGAGGCTTAGAGACCTTAAGCGGCTTTCCTAAAATCTAGTCGACCAGGGCCAGGACTCCAAAGCTGTGTCCTGTCCTTTCCACAGTTCTTTCTGCTAATGTGGGGCGCCTCCTGAGTCCTGGGACAAACACGCGGTGGGGGTGGAACAAAAAAGGCGTGAGCTCCTCACTCTCCATGTTATTTCCAGATTTTCTACCATGATTCATTCTTAAATCCCTTCGCCCCTCCAGCCTCTTTATCAGTCTGATATATTTTTCCAGATCACCACGGTGCCACCCCACCCCAAATAAATCCCTTGGTTCTCTAGCCCTCCTCCCTCTCCCCCTTCCCCCTGCGGTGGTGAGATTTTTCGGAGCCGGCGGGTCTGTTATTTATATCCACTGGAGCGGTCCAAGAATGTTCCGAGGCTGACCTAATCGCCACCTGCTTGGCCTCCCTACCCCTCCCGATCCCCCCAGGGCCCGGTGACCCAGTGGCCATGCCTGGCGCCCGGGAGACAGGAGGGAGCGTGGGTCTGCAGGGTTAGATGCACCCCCAGAGCCGCGGCGCCGGTGGAGGGGCGGCGCTGCTCGCTTCAGCAAGTCCGGTTCTTCCCCACCTCCCACTCCCTGAGGAGTGTGAGTACTGAGTACATGCGCGCGGATTTTTAAACTGCAACTTTAAAAATAGCAAAATTATGTTCTTTCTAAATCCGGAGGGACCACTGATGCGTTCTTCATGCAGATGAATCTGCTCACAAAATGGAAAGAGGGCCTGAAGAGAATGAGCTGGGGTAATTTCAGAAGGTAATATTAGAGGCTGAGGGCTCACTTGCGGGGCGGTCCTAGTGGGAGGGTGAAACTGCCTAAGATGCCTGTACCCATCCGCCCCACCTTTGGCCTGAGGACTCGGGCCATGTTTGGCAAATCATTCCTGAATAGTGGATCTGGAACCTGGAATGTAGCTTCTGAAACCAGTTTGGACAGCCACTCTCTCCTGGGGCTTGGATAAGTCTCTTCTCCCCTTATCTGTTTCTACCTTTATCATTGGTGACCTACCTGAACTTTTACTGGGCCATGAGCCCCACCGAATTAATGATTTGTAAAACAACTGCAAATGAGAGGAGCTGGGGAAAGGACATAGTCAAAGTGTTCTGCATTATTTAAAATCAAGTTAACATTCCACCTAGCGCCTGAAGGCCTTTAGGCAACTCGTCTGAAGTGTGAAAACACAAGAATGAAATTAATTACAGGAGCCTCCTATTAAAACCTCATTAAAAATAAAATTGACGGCTCGGCGCCTATAGCTCAACCGGCTAAGGCGCCAGCCACGTACACCTAAGGTGGCGGGTTCGAATCCCCAGCCCGGACCCGCCAAAAACAACAATGAGGGCTGCAACCAAAAAATAGCCGGGCGTTGTGGCGGGCGCCTGTGGTCCCAGCTACTTGGGAGGCAGAGGCAGGAGACTCGCTTAAACCCAGGAGTTGGAGGTTGCTGTGAGCTGTAATGCCACGGCACTCTACCCAGGGGGACAGCTTGAGGCTCTGTCTCAAAAAAAAAAAAAATAAAAAAAAAAATAAAATTGACAGCTAGGCTCTGGGATCTGGGGAGGCCAGGCCACAGAGACACTCAGGGCTGTTCATCAGACCACAAGTAGAAGGAGATGTGGAGTGGAAAACATCTGGCTTCCCTTGGGCTCAAATCTGGAAGCAGAAAGGAGAAATGTTGCAGCTGATCTTAATTGCCCCTAGGTACTGTAGAGAAACAAAACAAACCAAAACCCAGAACAGACTGGGCTGCTTCACAAGTAAAAGGAGACAGACAAGCCCTGGGACAGCCAGCCCCCAGCTAGTGCTGTGCCCAGGGCTCCTAACAGTCACACCGCTCCATCAGTGCTGTCTACCAAACTGAACAGAGTTCAAGATGACATGCCCAGGGTCATAGGGCTGAAAAAAGACAGAAATCTAGCAAGGAAGCTTGGCTTAAGGCATCAAGCTGCCTTGGAAGCACGTTGCTCTACAACCACATACCACCCAGACACAGACTCACCTTGAGTTTCTGGAATGTCCTAACCGCTGTAGCTTCGTTTGTTTGTTTATTTATGCATTCATTCATCCAGCCAAGAAAACTTTCATTTTTTTTTTCTTTGTACTAAGCCCTATGCTAAATGTTAGGGATACAAAGATAACAAAGGCAGAGCCCTAAGCCTATAATGATATGATGAAGATACAAAGTTTTGTGGAAAAACAGAGGCAAGAGAGACCACCTTTCACAGAACATGACACTTGATTGGGCTTGATGAATTGGAATCAGTCATGTGGACGGGCATTCTAGGCGAGAGCATCTGGGTGTGCCAAGAGCCAGAGATATTCCCATATGACTTTGTGACCTAGCAATTTGGAACAAATGTGTACAAATGCACAATGAAGTTCAAGGATGTTTGCATATACTACTGTTTGCAATGGGGGAAAACTGGAAATAAATGCCCACCACAAAGGCGGTTCACTCATGCTATGGATTACTGCACAACAACTCAAGAACAAGGTAGAGGCTTGGCACCTGTGGCTCAAGTGGCTAAGGCGCCAGCCACATACACCTAAGGTGGCAGGTTCGAATCCAGCCCAGGCCGCCAAACAACAATGATGTCTACAACCAAAAAAAATAGCCAGGCATTGTGGCGGGCGCCTGTGGTCCCAGCTACTTGGGAGGCTGAGGCAGGAGACTCGCTTAAGCCCAGGATTGGAGGTTGCTGTGAGCTGTGGTGCCACGGCACTCTGCCCAGGGGGATAGATTGAGGCTCTGTCTCAAAAAAAAAAAAAAAAAAAGAACAAGGTCGAGAGAGATGTATTCTTCTCTAAAGACCTCCACGACACTGTTGAGTGAAAAAAGCAAAGTGCAGAATGCACTAAATATTCAAAGAGAATATACACCAAGCTAGTTTTGGTAGTTATCCCTAGGGAGAGATTTGGAATTGGTAAGGAACATTTTTGGGTTTTTTTTTTTAATATGGAACGTGGGGTGGTGCCTGTGGGTCAAGGAGTAGGGCACCAGCCCCATATACTGGAGGTGGCAGGTTCAAGCCTGGCCCCGGCCAAAAACTGCAAAAAAAGGAAAAATGGAATGCTTCACAAATTTGTGTGTCATCCTTGCTCAGGGGCCATGCTGATCTTCTCTGTATCATTCCAATTTTAGTATATGTGCTACTGAAACGAGCATAGGAACATCTTTGTAGTGTTAGAAAACTTACAGTGAGGGATGGCGCCTGTGGCTCAAAAGGGTAAGGCACCAGCCCCATATGCCAGAGGTGGTGGGTTCAAATCCATCCCTGGCCCAAAAAGAAAAAAAAAAAACTAAATAAAAAAAGAAAACTTACAGTGAGGGCTGGATATAGTAGCTCATACCTGTAATCCTAGCACTCTGGGAGGCGAAGGTGGGTGGATTACTTGAGTTCAGAAGTTCCAGACCAGCCTGAGCAAGACTCAGACCCTATCTCTACTAAAAATAGAAAAACTAGTTGGGCATTGTGTCAGGCGCCTATAGTCCTAGCTACTCGGAAGGCTGAGGCAAGACATTTGCTTGAGCCCAGGCATTTGAGGTTGCTGTGAGCTATGACACTGCAGCACTCTACCTGGGGTGCCAGAGTAAGACTTTGTCTCTAAAAAAAAAAAAAAAAAATTTACGATGAGAATGGACCAGGCCAGGTGCTATAATCCTAGCACTCTGGAAGGCTGAGGCAGGTAGATTGCCAGAGCTCATGAGTTCGAGACGAGCTGGAGCCAGAGCAAGACCTTGTCTCTAAATAGCCAGTGTTGTGGTGGGACCTATAGTCCCAACTACTTGGGAGGCTGAGGCAAGAGAATTGCTTAAGCCCAAGAGTTTGAGGTTGCTGTGAGCTATGACATCATAGCACTCTACAAAGGGCCACAAAGTGAGACTCTGTCTTAAAAAAAGAGAGAGAGAGAGAATGTACTTATGTGTATTATTGTGTAAATAAAATCAAGAAAGTGGGGTGCTTGTAGTGAGTGATTCTTTGTGTCTAAAACAGTAGTGTCAACTCGATGCCCGGAGCTCAATGAGTGGGGCACCAGCCACATACACCAAGGCTAGCAGGTTCAAGCTCAGCCCTAGCCTGTTAAACAATGACAACTGCAACTGAAAAATAGCCGGGCATTGTGGCGGTCATCTGTAGTCTCAGCTACTTAGGAGGTTGAAGTAGGAGAATCTCTTGGGCTTGGGTTTGAGGTTGCTGTGAGCTGTGATGCTGTAGCACTCTACTGAGAGTGACATGGTCAGATTCTGTCTCAAAAAAATAAAAAACAAAACAGTACTGTTGGGCAGCGCCCATAGCTCAGTGAGTAGGGCGCCAGCCACATACCCAGGCTGCCAGGTTCAAACTAGCCCAGGCAAGATAAAACAAAAATAACAACTGCAACTAAAAACATTAGCCAGGCGTTGTGGCAGGCACCTGTAGTCCCAGTTACTTGGGAGGCTGAGGCAAGAGAATAGATTGAGCCCAAGAGTTTGAGGTTGCTGTGAGCTGTGACACTATCGCACTCTACCCAGGATGACAGCATGAGACTCCGTCTCCAAAAAAAAAAAAAAAAGTAGTGTCCAATGGAATTTTCTGCAGTGGTGGAAATGATCTGTAAATGAGCTGCCCAATAAGATAACTGCTAGTCACGTGAGACTGTTGAGCACTAGCAACATGGCTAGTGTGGTTGAATAAGTAGATTTTCAGTTTAATTTTAAGATTATTATAATTTTTTTTTTTTGCAATTTTTGGCCAGGGCTGCTGGGTTTGAACCCACCACCTCTGGCATATGGGGCCAGCACCCTACTCCTTTGAGCTACAGGCACCGCCCAATTTTTTTTTTGAGACAGAGCCTCAAGCTGTCACCCTGGGTACTGTGGTATCACAGCTCACAGCAACCTCCAACTCCTGGGTTCAAGTGATTCTCCTGCCTCCACCTCCCAAGTAGCTGGGACTACAGGCACCCGCCACAATGCCCAACTATTTTTTGTTTGCAGCTGTCATTGTTGTTTGGCAGGCCCTGGCTGGATTCGAACCCACCAGCTCCGGTGTTATGTGGCTGATGCCTTAGCCACTTGAGCCACAGGCACTGAGCCTAATTTTAAGATTTTTAAATTAATAATTTAACAGCTGTATTGGACCATGCAGGTCTGGAATAGCTAAAATATTGAGTTCATGATGTCACAGAAGCAGATAAAACATGGGCTGGGATTAGATGATTAGATGGTGAAGATTTGCAAACTAGGCTAAGGAATTTGGACTTTATCTTTTTATTTTGTTTTGTTTTGTTGACATAGAGTCTATGTCACCCTGACATAGAGTGCTATAATATCACAGCTCACAGCAACCTCAAATTCTTGGGCTTAAGTGATTCTCTTGCCTCAGCCTCCTGAGTAGCTGGGACTACGGGCACCTTCCACAACACCTGGCTATTTTTTGGTTGTAATTGTCATTGTTTTAGCAGGCCAGGACTGGCTAGAACCTGCCAACTTTGGTGTACGTGGCCGGCACCCTACTCACTGAGCTACAGGCACCCAGCTGACTTTATCTTATAGGCAGTGAAAAGTATGAATAGGAGAACCTAGGTCGGATTTACCCTTTTTTTTTTTTTTTTTTTTTTTTTTGAGACAGAGTCTCGCTTTGTCACCAGTGGAGGGTAGGTTAGAGCAGGCAAAATGCAGTAAGCAGGGCTGTCCCTGTGAAGGTTGCCATGTGAGCTACCTTCTGTGGCCCTGGGACAGTGCCCCAGCATTCCTGACAGGCAGCTGAGTAAAGTGTTTTCATTGAACAGCTATGTTTTTAAGATCTCAGGCAGCCCCAGGTGTAAAAACTGGGCTGAGTTATTGAGAGGAATTAACCACAGTGGGAGGCTGTTTCTGGGTTAGGAAGACAAGAACAGCAGAGAGGTGGCAGAAGGTAAAAATGCATAGCAGGTTCTCAAAGTATAGCCTGTAGAGAAGCTGCTCCAGGGTCTGGAATTTGCCCCAGGCAGATTCTTTGGAAGGCATCACAGAGTTGGCAGAAGACACCTTAGGAGTTGCCATTTTTAGTCCAAGCTTCAGTTCTGCGGCTGGGAAGCCTAGGTCCTTCCCAAAAGTTCCCTGGGGGGTCTCCTGACTGGTGAAGGAGTTCTAGTGTTTTAGTAAATGACCCATTTATTTATCATCTTTCAGGGGACATCCTCTGTGTGCCAGATACCATGCTTGGTTCTCAATTCAAAGGAAGTAGGCAAGATCCCTGACTTCATAGAGTTTTCGACTAGAATCAAATAAAGGTCTGAATATATAATTAGAAATGGTGATGTGGGCTTGGTGCCCATAGGTCAGTGGTTAGGGTGCCAGCCACATACCCTGGGCCCGGCCTGCTAAACAACAGTGACAACTGCAACAAAAAAATAGCCAGGTGTTGTGGCAGGTGCCTGTAGTCCTAGCTGCTTGGGAGGCTAAAGCAAGAGAATTGTTTAAGCCCAAGAGTTGAAGGTTGCTATGAGCTCTGAGCTCTGACTCCGCAGCACTCTACCGAGGATGACATCTACCAACTACTGATGGTGACATAATGAGACTCTGTCTCAAAAAAAAAAAAAAAAAAGGTGAGGCCTTTGAAAGGGCAAAAAATGGTGCTATAAGGGAATGATGGGAACATGACTTCCATTGGGGAAGGGGCAGAGAAGATTCCTGGGGCAGTTTAAGTCTCTATGCAAAAAGACCCAAAAGATAATTGGAAGCCAGGCTGGGAGGCTCACACCTATAATCCTAGCACTTTGTGAAGCTGAGACAGGTGGACTGCTTGAGCTCAGGAGTTTGGGATGAGCCTGAGCAAGAGTTAGACCCTGTTTCTACTAAAAATAGAAAAATTAACTGGGTATTGTGGCTGGCACCAGGAGTTTGAGGTAGGGCACCAGAGTGAGACTCTTGTTTCAAAAAAAAAAAAAAGGAAAATAAATTTGAGATGAGGGAATGGGGAAGAGGCAGGAGAAGAGAAGACCAAGCATTCACTTTTGGACCCTGATGAAATGTTTCGTCAAGCAGACAGGGCCACATGCTACTCTGGATATCACTAATGAACACATGACCCAGGAAGAGAAGCAGAAACTATGACCCTTCACTAAGGTGACCAGGTTTTTTTTTAATTTTTTTTTTTTTTTTTTGCTTTCAACTTATCTTACTTTGTTTTTTTTTTTTACACTTCTTCTTCCCTTAGTGTTCTCTTGCCCCCCACATGGCTGGGATCACAAGGTCTGGCTGTCTTGTTGTTGTTGTTGTTGTAGAGATGGGGTCTTCTCACTCTGGCTCACACTGCCTCAGGCTGGTCTTCAGCTGGTCTTGAACTCGGCTGAGCTCGCGATCCACCCACCTCAGCCTCTCATAGCACTGGAACAACAGGCGTGTGCCACCACACCTGGCCAGGTAACCAGATTTTTAACATTGGTAAAGTGGGACACCATTGATGGGGGTGGGGTGGGGGTAGGGGGGTGTTCTTAATTAAAAATTTGGTCTATATGGAGCAACAAAAATTTTCATAGAATGCAAAAATAGTATTGTAATTTTTTTTTTAATTTCAACGTAAGTACAATTTACAAATATAATACATTAAAAAAATTATGTATAGTATTATTTTATTCTTTGGCATATTTCTCGTCGAATTCTAACAACTGATCAACAATGCGAACTTTGATAAGCAGTTCTCGATAATCAGTTCTCAACAATTATTTGTTATTAAAGTTTAACATTATAAAATTAACAAAAATAATATAAAACTCATATCCTGGTGAAATAGCCACATGGCAGCCAAAAACCGTATATTCCCTTCCCATTCTCCCACCCTTCCCTAGCTTGTCATGCATTCTTTCCAAAAATCGGGACTTTTTTAAAACTCTGCAGGACATGAGACAAATTGTTAAAAATCGAGGTTGTCCCGCCAAAAGTGGGATGTCTGGTCACCTTCACCTTGGAATTGGAGCTCTGTGCCCCCGAGGTGAGGTTTGATCCAGGTAGTGAAGGGGGAGGGTGGAAACTCAGGCATATTTTGTCTGTCACATTCCAGACATTCTGCTCAGCACTTTGTCACCACAGCCGGTGGAGCAGGATTTATTCTTCCTGTTTGGCAAAGGAGGAAACTGAAAAGCAGAGAGAAAGGTGTTAAGATTTGCAAAGGATACAGCTAGGAAGTGGGGAAGTGAGGGCTG